GAACACAAGAAAAGAAATTTCGGGGGTTTAATTAGAATGTATGTCTCATAATTATTGATAAATTAATTTTATAAGGAGCACGAGTATCAATATTGAAATGAGAGAGAAAGAGAGAGAAGTTCTACGTATATATGAGGAAAGCAATGCATGTGAAGAATGATTTTGGGTTGTTGACAAGAAATAAAGTAAACAAGAAAGAAGATAGAATTGACGTGACCTATTATAATTGTGGACATACAAAATAGAATTGTCCTACACTTGTTACGTATTAGTCGTGCGAATAGAATGTCTTATTGCATTAAACTATTGCACTACGTATAAATTATTATAATAACTAATGATATATACTTTACTTGAAGCAGTTTCACATGTGTTGACAATTAGCATTGCCGCACTCATTGATATACATTAATACTTTTTAATATTGAATATAAAAGACAAGCGAACCAAAATAATAAATAATAATACGTTGATGATATGTATAACATCAAATAAATTAATAAGGTCTAAAGTATAATGATTTAGGCTTAGCATCAAAGTCTTGAATGGGGTCACTTTTTAAATGACTAAAATGTAAATAAGTTCTCAATCGTGGGATCACTGGGTAGGTTTTGAATAGCTCTCTTCATCAATAAAATTAATGTCTAAAAATTACACCTTTAGTACTTATATAATAATCATATATTAAATGTCTAATTGTTGAAATCTTCCAGGAAGACGTGCAGAGAAGAAAGTGGGGATATGTGGTGAAGGGTCTACTTTTTAAGATAGAAAACATGCCAACTAATAAAGAGAAAACAAACGAGTTAAAAAAAAATAAATTAAATTAACAAGGTTTTTGTGTGAACTAACGAATGATCTTAAGCGTAATTAATGATCTTTCATATAACTGTTCAAAAGACAAAAGCTTGGGTTATAGATCTTAAAACCAATCCCAAAATGTATACTATAGCCACTATTTTAGTTCACCCATTTGACTCGATCGGGCAAGCCAATTAAGTGTATAACGGATAACCGATAGTTGGTTATTTAGATAAATATTGATTGAGAAGCAAATCATTTTAACTGTAGATGTCCTATTATTTCTTATATCAGTTTTGCTATGGAGCCATCAGATGACTCGACTTATGGAATCATCCCTCCCTATATATTAATTGAGAACGTGCTGAGCTTATGTGGCAGGCTCGCATGCTTCGGGATCCTATGTGGCAAAAATACATGCTTCGTTATTAGGCTTGGGTAGATTTAGTTTACTTCTAATCCAAATATATTTAGGTTCGGATTATCTATAATATGTTGATTATTTATGGTAAGGGTGGACGCCGGCCGGGACGGTCTTGGATTTGACTTGTCCGGATACTCATCTCACTTTTATGAATCCGTCCATGAACGAGGCACCGTCGCCACCCATGTATTATATGGGTGTTGTACTAATTTATAGTTATTCGCAAATAATGCATTGACACATGTGCAATAAATACACACTGGACATGTGTCAATACATAAAGTTATGCATGACTCCATAGAATTTTTCTTTCTTTTATATTTATGATCAGAAAGAACATATATTGTCTAGGCATGGAGTAAGTGTTTGGTTGGATTTTTTGTTTTTTGTTTTTCTTTTGTTTTTTATTTATTTATTTTTTTTCCAGATTGAGATAAGGTGCAGATGGCAAAGGCTTGTTCTTTGCTTCTCATTGGCCATTGCAGCATGTATTTATAAAATGATTTCTAGTTTGAATAATTTTAGATATATGCTTTTATATAAATATTTATCACACATATATGACAATAACTTCCTTTTTATTTCAACTTTAGAAGATGGAAGTTATTTTTTAGCACAAATGGAGGGGACAATAAAGACAAAATATTCACGTAACGTACACCCAACTCTTTAGAATTGTCAAAATTATGTGGGATTTGCATCTTGATGACATTTAGGCTAAGTTTGATAAAATCTAGTCAATACGCTAGTTTACAGATTTTAATAAATTTTAAATTTTTAGTTTTTAAGTGAATTTTGAACTTATAGTTGATAATTTGTGATTTATGGTTGAAAAACTAGCTTATATAATAAAAGTGTTTGATAAAATTAGCGGGTAAACTAGCTGAAATAAAAATTTCAATTGACTTATATTTGAAAAGTTACCTAATGAGATAAAATCGAGTTTTTTTTTTCTTTCTTTTTTTTTTTTAAACGCTTCCTACCAAATTAAACTTATTTAAATACAAGAAACTTATAAGCTTGATATACTTACCAAACACAGTCTTAATCCTACTAAATATTTAATTTTGACCAGATATCTAAGTGAAGAAACATCATAATAATATAAAGAAAATTTACTTATCTATATCTATATCTATTCTATATCTTTATAATAAACCAATCTTTAGTGTCATAATTAACATGATTTTTGGCGGGAAATTTTTTCGTCTATATTTGGCATTTAATTAATATTTATTTATTAACAAATCTTATGGATGAAAAACATAATTAATTTTCTTACATACAATGATTAATACTTATTAACTACAGATTAGCTTAAATTAAAATTTTGACCGTCGATTTATTAAATATATTTTCAATAAGATCTTATATTAATTTTATAGTAATTTATTGACACAATTCAAAAAAAATATTATGGAAATTGATCTGACTAAATATATTATTAACTATGGTTGTAGGTATTAATTTAATTAATTATATTTACTATTCAAAAATACTTAAAATATTTAATAAATATCAGAATACCTATGTTTAAAGCATAATAACTTAATAAATAATTTAAAATATTAATAAAAGTTTCTAAATGTAGTCAATTTAACCATAAAAAGGTATATTCCCATTAAATATATCATATGCAGTGATAATACTATTGAAAATTTAAATAATATACTAATAAAAATAAAATTTGATAGTCAGTGCAATTCAAAATTATAATTAGAAGTATCTATGTACATTAAAAAACTATTTTATTTAAAAAATATATATTTTTCTTATGTACTATTTTATAAATAAAAAAGCAATGTATAATAATTTAAATTAAAGCACTGGGTAATTTGGAAATATATAATATATCTAAATATTCGAATAGATACTATGTAACTTATTATATAGGTTGAAAAAATTAATTACAAAAATAAATATAAATAAAAAATGGAAACATAAAAATAAAATATTTAATCATAAAAAATTTGTGTGTTGCATAAGGATTAAAGTTCCTAAAAATTAAAATTTATTTATCAAAATTTTTAACATTTAATGCACTTAATAATTATAGGGGAAGATAAATGGTATGGGTTAAACGATGGTAAATTATGAACCAATGTGCAAATTATGAATTGTTAAAAAAATTATAAGACCATGATAGACAATAATTTTATTTATTTATTTACTTTTTTTTGTACTTAAAACAGCCAAAAGAGGACGACAGAGGGATATACCACTCACAACTCCTATGAAATCCGATAAGACCAGCTGGATATTTAAGCCCAAATCCATATTTTATAATATTTTATAAACTTATAAATAATAAAATTTATATATTAAATACTCAAAAACTACAATATATATATATATATATATATATGAATAGAATTTAACAATAATTGTAAATAAATAAATGTCATATTATTATTGAATAAAATATTGTGATGAATATAATTTCATATTATTTTAAATAATTTTATCATATTTCAATATAAAATATTTTTTGTATTGCTTTTCATGCATTGCACAGGTATCAACACTAGTATCATATGCTACCCCAACCAAACCGGGCCTAACAAAAATTATTCGATTTCTCATGAATAACAAATCATATGACTACAAAGTAAGAGATTATTTAAATACGAATAGATAAATTCTGTTTGGTTTTGGAATATTTGTATTGGGATGTGGAGAGAGAGAGAGAGGGGCAGTTTGTTGGAGAGATAGAAGGGAAAGAGATGGGTCTGTGGGGTGTCAGAAGAATTCAGCAAAAGAGTTGTTGTGCAGAAAAAGATTCTTCATGCGGAAAATTACGAATTATTTAATCGTCCTTTTGTGATTATAATATAAATTAAAACAAAAAAAAAACATAAAATAAAACCCGACCCGACCCACGTACCACCATCCTCTCGTGAAACACCTAATCCACAAGTGAGGGCCATGGAGAATTCATTCCATTGTTAATGACTTAATTCAATTACCATTTTACAAAATGAATTTTGTAAGCAAAATCTTATGCTAAGAGGTAACTGTTAAATCAGAGGCGTTTTGATACGATGATTCATAATAGACTATCTTGGTCGGCATACTCGTGCAGTCCCATTGAACAAGATTAAGTGTTGGTCTGTTACTAAAACAAAACAACATTTGATATTTGCCGTATAAATTGAAATTCGGGATAGAATAAATGAACAAAATTATGATTTTAACACAAGACCATCAAACAAAAGCCAATTTTGAAAAGAAAGAACTTAACTCTTGATGCCATTAAGACACTGCTAGCCATATCCATCTACTCTTCTCTAATGAATACATGAAGAATGAGTAATAAATAAATTGATAATGCGAATGAATTCTATTAAATATTTTATATTTTTCTTGATAGATGAACAATAAAGATTTAAAAGACATGAAAGAAAGTTGATTTTTTTCTTTTATTGAAAAGAAGAAAGAAAAATACATAAATCATTAAGGAAAGAATAAAGTAACAAATACACAGTTGGGTTGAGCACGGTGTTGTCCCTATTGGTGCCCTACCAGAATTTGATTCTCTTCAATCTCACGCGCACTTCTAATTCTAACCCACCACAATCAAATTTCACAAAGATAATTAAAAAATAATCAAGTACTTGACCCTTAAATCCACAAATTCCATCATCTTTTTGGCTCATTCTAAAATCTATTCTGTTTTACAAGACAAACTCAACTTTATCAGTCCCCTCCCTCAATATTGATATCTAACCCATCAGCCAATTTCTTTTTTCTTCTTTTACAAATATTATTTATTCATTTGCCAAATTTTGAGAGAATTTTGGTAAAAAAATGGCAGCTCCAAACATGGCTACAATCACAGCATCTTTAGAGAGATCTCTTCAAAACTGCTCCTTGAACCACCACCACCACCACCATCACCACCCGCAGAGCAGCACCACCACCACCACCACCGCCGGCGGTGGTGGAGCCGAGGCGGCTCACGGCCAAAATTCGCCGACGAATCTCTCTGCATCCCCGGCCTTGGAGCTCAATTCAGAAGCTTCCCTCCCTTTCAATTGGGAGCAATGTCTCGATTTGAAGGTATATAATTAAAGATCGCAATCAATATGATGTTTTGTGGGCTCGTGTTTTTGTAGCTATTTAATTTATTCAACATTTAATGCTCACCAAACCTTAACAGATCCACCATTATTATTATTATCACCTGACCTTTGTTCTTTTGCTTCCTGTCCTCGAATCAAAATGCTTCTCTTCTTTAAATGGCCCCTTATTTATTGTGTCCTCTGTTCATTTATCTCCCTCCCCTACTAAATAAATACTCTCACATTTTCTTGTCATAAATACATGTAAAAGACTAAATCTTTAATAAAAAAAACCCAATCTTGCACATGCATTTTTCTTGAAATGGAGTTGAAAGACCCTTTTTTTGGCTTAAAGATATCATTTTTCTTCCTTTTATGTGTTGCCCATATATTTAAAAAAAAAAAAATGCAGACAGGTGAAATATAATACATAAATTGGAGGACTGAATATACTACATAAATTGAAATATACTAAATAAATACTCACATTTTCTTGTCTAAATACATGGAAAAGACTGAATCTTTAATAAAAACCCAATCTTGCACATGCATTTTTCTTGAAATGTAGTAGTAACTAGAAAGACCTTTTTCTTTGGCTTAAAGATTTCATTTTTATTCCTTTAATGTGTTGCCCATAAAAACTATATATATATAAAAAAAAATGCAGACAGGTGAAATATACTACATAAATTGGAGGACTGGCATGAAAGTTAAGGAGGATCCTCGAACAATCGATGCAGATGAGTTAAACGATGATTGTTACTACTCGGAGGATGATGACGATAGCAGCAGCTCATACGACAGTCAAGGCTCATGCTCAGAGACTTCACCATCTTCATCCTCACCATCAAGACTTCAATGGTGTGGTAAGAACAAAAACAATAGCAAAATCGAAGAGAATTGCTACTATCAAGGAAATAATAATAATAATAATAATAATAATAATAACATGAATTGGAATAATAATAGTAGTAATAGTAATAACAATGTGCTTGTGGTGGGTGGATGCAAGAGGTGTTTGATGTACTATATGGTGCCTAAACAGCTGGAAATTTGCCCCAAATGTTGTGGTCAACTCCTGCATTTTGATCGATCAGAAGATGGGGGGTCCTCCTGATTCTTATTGTTCTTTATTGTCCATTTTTTTTAACAGCGGTGATATTTTCTGTTTTACATTCTTGAGTCTTTTGAAGGGGTGTGTTTGGTAATGGAAGTTGATATGAGCTGTGGAGTTTCCATTATGAGACAAAAAAAAAAATGTATTGATCCTTTTTTTTTGTGTGTGTGTGTGTGTGTGTATTTTAACACTTGATTGAATGTAATTTGGTGTTGGTACTTGCATTATGTATTTGGCATCATTTGTGGTTTTTGGGTTCGATCAATGTGTGTTGAGTTTCGAGTAAGGAGGAGAAATTTGATCCTATCCTACTATTCTCTCACTGGGTTTTTTATCGTTGGATCAATACACACCGTATGGTGTGTGTATGTGTGTGACACGATGATAAAAAAAACTCGACCTTTGGAGGGGTTCATTTGGCTCCTTGATTTTTGACGATCGAGCATGAGTTAACCGATCGAAGTTCTTTTTGTTTCTTTTCTAATTGTTGATTTAGAATTTGAATTTAATATTCATATTTAGGATTTTGAAATAGATGTTCTTCAATATGTGTATTTTTAAGTTAATAAAATATAGCATATTTATTAATTACCCCGACTTGCTTCTATAACTTAAATGGTCGAGTGGTCGAGTTCGAATAACTTAGTGAGTTTCTTAGTTGAGTTGTGTTTTGTGAATACTCAATTATGTTTAACGAACAAAGGCATTTATTTTAGTTACATCCATGTTCCTTGAGCATTTTCCTCTAATTTATATTTCCCCATACCTTCAATGTTGCATATATGACTAGTTTGTTTTTATGATTAATGACTAACTGATTAAATAAAATATAAAATAGGAATTTAACTTAACCGAACTGGATTCGATTTATTAAATAATTCGACCCAACCATACTTCTTTATTAAGAAGCACTGAGTTTTAATATTGTGTATTCAACCCATCTCAACTTGAATAACAAAACTGACGCTATGTATAAAAAATATTCAACACACCTCAACTTGAATAACAAACAAACCTGACGTTATCTATAAAAAGGTCAAAATGCCTTAAGTTGATTGCCTTTCTTTAACAAAAAAAAGGTATGAACATAATTTCTTGTAGTTTACTTGAGTTTTAGTTAGGAATCTAATATAATTTATTGCAAATATATTACGAGGTGGGCACACAATTATGCAGGTAAACCCAACGTAGTTAGAATTCATTTCATTGAGTATGTTTCACAAAAAATCAATTTTAATTCATTTTTATTGTGTATTATTAATCTAAATTAATAGTATGGCACTGGTAATTTAGAATTCCACATACACCTAATCAACAAATTCATACAGCATTTACGGGAGACATACTTTTGCAACAAATTAATTATTTCTCCAAAGATAAAATTTTACTCATACTACTTAAAGTTGTATTGTATATTTGTATTTACTATTTATAGGACTTAAATTGAAAATGCTAATAGTTGCATAACTCCTTTGCAAGTCCCCAAAACTAAGGGGACGAAATTGAAAATTTTCCCATTAAATCAGTTTTTGGGTTAACGCGTAAAATACTAACCACGAGGCCTTCCAGAAAGCAACCCACTCTCACCTATTTCAAACCCTTCAAACTTAATTTTTCACACAAATTCATCTCTCTATAAATTAATAAAAATTGTTGAATCACTTCACTATCGGAAAGAAATTTATTGAATCGGAAAGGAATGGAGAAAAACCAGGAGCCGGCGATCGGGATCCCCTACAACGCGACCTACCATGCTCCGGCGATGCCCCAAGCCTACTACGTCGGGGAGAACCCTCACCAAGCCGGCGTAATCCCTCCTAATGCCATCGTTGGGGATCCAAAGGGTATACCCCTTCAGCAAACGATTTACCGCGATAGCCCCGCCCCTTTCAACTGCGTTTACTGCGGCGGATCAGGTCTCACCACCGTCAAGTAAATTTCTCCACCTCTTTAATTTACTTTATTTCCCCTGATCGTTTCTTCTGACGTGAATTTTGGGGGAAATTGTTAGGGTTTTTTTTTTTCGCATTTTATGTTTTTGTATAGCTAAAAGTGTGTTGTTTGGAAAGATGATTTTGGATCGCATTTAGATTTGATGTTTGATTGTTAACAATCTCCAGCTCAGGAAGATAGTGATTGGAAATTCACAGTAAACAGGATCAGACGCAGGAGTTGCTATGATGTGAAATTCACACTGATGATGTGAAAATTAATGGATGGTTTTATTTGGTTAGCTGATTCCATTTGCAGAGCAGTAAAGTTTGTGTTGTTTTAATGCTTTTGGCGGTGATGTGAATGTAAATATTTTCCCATGATCGAATGACTTGGCATCTGGAAATTGTAGAGTATAGTGATGTAAAAAAAATTAACGTCCAGAAAGTGCCACACTAATCAAATCTATGAACCAACATATGATTTGTAGAGGCTAGTTGCTGAAATTGGACCAAGTAAATGGGCATTCTGGTGTCTCTCTTATGTGATGTCATTTTCGTTCATGCCTATTATGTTGTCCTTTGATAAAGAGAATGTAGTAATGAGCTAACTATTCTCTTTCCCAATGTTTAAAAGTAGCCATTCACCCAGAAAAATGCTCCTCGCTTCAGAATAAGTGTAAGAAGTGAAATTTTGTTACAACACCAATGACCTATTGTCTTATTATCTTGAATAACCACAGAACATAGAAGCTCAGACCTAGTGCCTGCTCATGAGATAGATTGAATCTAGTATTTCATTTTCTTAACTATCGTTTCTCTTAACTCGCGTGGAATTGGATACTCGTAAAAACCCACGAATAATTTTTGTTTTTAATACGGTTGTTCTACTTTCGGTTGTTTTAGCTGTTTTAGCTCTTTTCTTTGCTTGCGATCAGGTCCAAACCAAGTTTGGCTGCTTTTGTTGGTTGTATGATGCCATTTATGCTCGGATTCTGTTTTCTTTGTCCTTGCATGGACTGCCTATGGCACAAGTATCATTATTGTCCAAGCTGCAATGAGAAGGTCAGAATTACTTGTTTTCTGCTTAATCTTTGTTTCTCCCACAATACGCAAGTTTCGAATTTTGTTGTTGTATTTAAGATATGAATGAAATGAACTGTTTCTTTTGCCAGGTTGCTAACTTTGAGAAATCTGATATTTGTTTGGTGATGGACCCTCCACAATGGGAACAAATGAGTTTTGCATTGCCTGCATGAAAATCACAAAGTTCATCACTGTCATTGTATTTGTTTACGCACTTATTGATTTGATAATAAACCAAAATGTAAAAATGTTTCTCTCTCTCTCTCTCTCACACGTGTACAAGGCTTGGAAGAGAGTATTTTAGCATCTTGTGTATAGTCCTTGTTCTTGCAATTTTCAACTAAATGCGCAATTGGTTTGTGAGGTTCACATATCTTGTAGTTTCAGTTTCTGTAATTGGTATCTCAGTCATGAGCGAGCGTGGATAAAACAGCGAGGTTTCTACTGTTAATTATCACAGTTTCTTTAGTTATTTATGGCGATGCGTATTTATATAGTTTATTCTATGAAATACTTCAGTGTTATTAGTTTATTTTAAACTATTCTGGATAGATATAGAATTTCAATGGTGAATAACTCCCTTATGAAGTCATTCTATTACTTGGAAATTGTATGGTTAATTTGTAGAACTTTTATTTTAGAACATTATAGAAAAATATGCCTTTTTTTTTTCTTTGACAATTTTCAATTTGTTTCAATTCGATTGATTAAGATATACAGCCAAAATTGACAATGTGTTATTGTTAATTATCTATAAGATTTTATCTAGAGCTGTAAATTAATTGAACTTTGTAGAACTAAAGTTTGTTCAAGCTCGATCGTGATCGATCGTGTTCATTGAGAGATAATTCGTTTATTAATCGATTGGAACTTGAATAAAATATTTTGTTCGTTATTCGAGTGAGCGTACGCTATGTTCGACAGTGTTGAATTTTAATTAATATAGTTTGTAAATTGTATATTTTATATATACATATACATATAATATTAATAATAATTTAAAGTATAATTTCTTTTATTTGTTAATCTAGAGCTCGAGCAATTTCGACGCAGCTAATCTCGAGTTAATAAAATAATTTTAATAAGTTTGTTTCCTAAATAATTCGAACATGTGTTTTGAAGAATAATTAAATGACTGAGTTTGAACACAAATTTTTGCTTGAATAATAGACAAACGAACACAAACAATGTTTAAACTAAACAAACATGAGATTGAAATATTCATGTTCGGCTCATTTGATTCGATTCAACACTAGCCTCATCACTTATGCAATTGTTACAAGTGATAATGAATGACACGACATGAAATACGAACACGACATGATTAGAAAGTGCAGTAAAAATAAAATAACACGACAATAGTACGTCATGAATAAAAACGATTAGAAAATACAATTATATAGATAAATGATTAGTGTCAACGAACTCGATACAAAATACTTCTATGAAATAAAGAATTCAATAAGTTTAGATTTATGATCAAAGATAAGATGATAAGTAGAATACAAACGTATACAATATCACAAGTTGTCGGCCCGGAAACAAAAGATTTGAGAAGACGTACAGATATTATCCAAGACGGAAGCCGATCGCTTCACTTGGTATTCAAGCTAAAAAAATGTTGTATCATTTCAGTGATGTTATGGCAGCACAATCATCACCGTTAATGCTTCCATCGCATTATCCTCGCCTGCCCAGGTATAAGCTTCTCACCTTTTTTTTTTTATTTTATTTTATTTCGGATACCCACATTTTGTGTCTGTTGTTTTGTTTAACTGGCGACTTTTACTATTTCAATTTTCTATCTTGCGCCGGATTTGGGGATTATGAAAGTGGAATTAGCAAATTAGGTGTATTTACGTTTTCGTGACACACTTGACTTGTTACTGAGATCCCATAACCTAATCTTTTACAAAATTTCTGGTTTTTTTGTTTGCTGAAAGATACCTACAGTTTATTCTCTACACCTGAGGCTGATACTTGTTGTTCTACATCGTAAAAATTGTAACTTGATTGGTTTTTTTTAGTTTAACCAGTTTAACCATACCTTTCCATCACCGTACNCCAAAAGAAAAAAAAAAAAAAAAAAAAAAAAATCTTGGCATCCTTTTTGGTGATAAATAGTCTGTAATTATAATGCATTTGCTTTCAGTTAGTTGTATTGATCTGGATGGCAAAGGTTTCTAAGCACTACACCAGTACTTATGTATGTAATATAAAGATCTTTTGAATGGCTTTGTCTTATAGCCCTTATAGCTCACATCTTTAATATTATGTTTTGTTCAAAATATACTCTGTTTTACTTTAGGGGAATGCCCAACAAAAACGTGTCAAAATGCTGTGTTGGATATCCCTTTACCACTAAAGTTGGTGTTAAACAAGCAATATCAGGTCTTGCGGCATCAATAATATTGCTATCTCACACAAATCTGGTTAGTGCATTATTATTAACACACAAATGAGGGAAGAAAATTCCAAACTAAATTTTGTTCAGTTGGGCAGGCTTGTGCAGCAAATCATTCTCATGGAAATATATGCCAGCTTGCAAATGCTGCTGAGGATAACAGGTTAAATCTTGCTTCGGACAATGGTGGAAAAAATGGAATGCTGATTGCAATGAGAGGCATGACAGTAAAGAACTTTGATCCAGCCAGATATGCTGGAAGATGGTTCGAAGTGGCTTCCCTTAAACGAGGTTTTGCTGGGCAAGGCCAAGAAGATTGCCACTGTACTCAGGTTATCTTGTTACCTTCTGAAAAAAAAAAAAAATAATAATAATAATACTAAAAAATTACAAGCCTTTTTTCTATTGTGGGTCTTTGGGTTGAATTTTTACTTGGGTTTTTTACTTTTCTGAATGATAATGTTACTTACGTTAAATGCAGGGCATTTATACGTATGATCAAGAAACACCTGCAATCCAGGTTGATACGTTTTGTGTTCATGGAGGACCTACTGGGTATATCACAGGTATAAGGGGAAAAGTTCAGTGCCTTTCTGAGGAAGATAAGAGAAAAGACGAAAATGACCTGGAGGTGATAAAGGAGAAGTGTTACCTTCGTTTTCCTACTTTGCCGTTCATACCCAAAGAGCCTTATGATGTGATCGCAACTGATTATGACAATTTCGCCCTTGTTTCTGGAGCAAAGGATACAAGTTTTGTACAGGTAGCCATATACCTCCCAATATTTTGTACTCTCTTTTATATTTTGGTTTTAGAATAAATTCGTATTTGATTATCAATATTCATATTAAATACCATATTTGGCAGATATACTCAAGAACGCCCAACCCAGGACCAGAATTCATCGACAAGTACAAATCTTATTTGGCGAATTTTGGTTATGATCCCACCAAAATCAAAGATACTCCACAGGACTGTGAGGTGATGTCAAACAGTAAGCTTGAAGCAATGATGTCCATGCCTGGCATGCAACAAGCTCTCACAAACCAGTTTCCTGATCTTGAACTAAAATCATCCCTCGAGCTTAATCCATTTACCAGTGTTTTTGATACTTTTAAGAAGCTTGTTGAGCTTTATTTCAAGCAGTGATTCAATACTATGAAGCAAAGCCTTCTGTATGTGATTTACTTTGTGCCTGATATCTTTTTCTTCCCCCTTCTCATGCTTTGTATATGTAATAGAAATCAATTTTTTTTTGCATTTGCATTCAGTGGCAAAGAGAAGATATCCCGTTTTCATTCAGTCCATCAATTAACCTCAAATAAAAGCAAACTGTCGTAAGTTGGTTTTATTAATTTAATATTACTAATTTTTAAAGATATCTTTCCATTCAATTGTTTATTTTTTATAAATACTTATTATATTAATATAACTCAACAATTTTGCAGTTAAAATTCTTGCCAAGTGTATAAGAGAAAATTAACAGAAAATAAAGAGAGTAAAGTAAAGAGCTCAAGAACCTTATAGAGGGTCAGTTTGGCGATTCTCACATGACAGGTCCAATTCTTAATTAAAAAATAAAAAATAAAATTCAACGACTTGGGAAAAGAATAGTTAACTGGTTGCATGTTAGTATCAAGAAAAATCTCTATTTGTAAATAAGAAAATGTAAAAGAGCCTAACAACTGAAATCAGAAATTACTTGAATGAAACTCTCAAGTTAAAAAAATCCACGCCAAAGAGTTCCACCAACAAAATCTATTCACATCTCAATCACAGTCATTTTGGCTTGAAAGCTCCACGATTCTTCTCATTTCCCTTTCCAGAGTATAATTTGCTCATCTTTGAACAAGATAGGAACACAAGGAACCAGATCCTGCATGAAAAGTGGAACCATAAGGACCACAAAGAACTCCTCTTATAAGAAAATATAAACATGCACAAGAAATGTTATAACGAATAATGGAACTAAGATTAACTTCCGTAACTCTTAGTTTGACGCCAATCCTCTTGCAGTCACTTTTGCCCACATGAGCACAGTCTAACCTTACGACATCTTCAGTTTCAAAAGCTGTTCTCACTCTCTCAACAACGTTTACATACACACCATTCCTTGCTGCAAACAAACAAAAAGGCTAACATTAGGCAAACTAAGGATATGTTCTAGCTTATAACTTATATGTGATTTTTAAGCTTATAGTTTATAAATATAGCTGAAAAGCTAGCTTATATGATAAAAGTGTTTTGTTAAATTAGTTGATAACCTAGCTGAAATAAAATTTTCAACGAGCTTATTTGAAAAGCTACCCAAAGAAGCTAATGAGATAAGCTCGAGCTTTTTAAAAAAGTCTGTCCTACCAAACGAAGCTTATTTGAATACATGAAGCTTATAAGCTAACCAAATAAGCTACAAGCTAGCTTATTTAGTTACCAAACATAGCCTAATATTTTAAATTACTGAATCTCACAACTTAATATTCAATAATATTACTAAGTTTCATAAGTGGAGGAGAGGCAAGTCCTCTATTCCGCTTCTCTTGAGTTTGTACGAATGTCAGACCATCAGCAACTTTCTTCACCAGCTTGGGATATAATGGTGGATATGGCTTCCATAACATCGTTGGGAGCTGAGGTCGTTTTCTAGGATCATAGTTGCGCCCGCGATATAAAAGGAGGATATTTATGTGGCGATATATAATCTTCCCACCAGATTTGTCCTACAAACATGCTGTGATCCTTGTTAGACAAATGACCTTATACAAATTTTTAGAAATATCCGAGTAGTATTCGGAGCTTTGAAACCTCAAGATGGAAGCATATGTTGTCCATGTCAAGTGTTGGCACCCCCAAACACTTTATTCTCACTGCCTCTGCCCTTTTCCAATGGTTATGGATATCTTCAAGTGAATTGTGTGTGACACCTCCTTTACCTGATATTATCTCAAGTGCATTTTATTTAAATGAATGTAAAAGAAGCTTTGGAATAAAAAGTAATCAGTTTGCAATTCTGACAATATAACATTCCAAACAATATTGCTCTCTGAATCCATAATACTTGGTTTTTTCTAACATAGCATAGGTGCCAAAAAAGGGTATTAGGTTAAAGTATTTAGAATTCCCATCCTTATCTAATTAGCCAAACCACAATGCAGCTCTCATTAGTCCCACCCGGAACACAGATCCACACAGGCATAAGATCTTATAAAACAGACACCGAGTGAAAATGAGATGTGACTAATGAAGAAGCAACAAACTAAATATAGCATCCTCATAGATCGATCGATGTTCATTAAACAAAAACCAAAAAAAAAAAGAGGTACGTATGTTGTGCAATGTAACTTTTCTTATCCTCCAAACCCCATTTCACATCATATACAAACTACTCATTCGTGTAACTAAGCTAAGAAGAAAGATCCCCACGTTGAGAGTTGCGAGCTCCATAAAGAATGATTATGGTCCAGCCTTTTAGCGACTATTGACACGATGAATTGCAAATAAGTAACTCATTTACATACATGATTTAAATGCACAATAACATGTCATAAGTTAACTAGGAATTCCATACATACAAAAATGTGCTTGTTGTAAATATGCAGTCACACAGAGCCAAAAGTGTCTCACCTCCGCAGAACACACAACTAACGGCAATATTAACACAGAGAGAGTTAAGAAAAAGGGGAAATTCTGATTTTTACCCAAATTGATTTGACGGGAACAATCGGAGTGGCGATACTTGTCCACCAACTCGGCGATCTCCTCATCTGAGAGCGGGTCTCCGAGAATCTTTTCCTTCTCCTCCGTCAGCTTGTCCGCGTCGAGCTTATGCTTGGCGGGGGCACAAACCCCATTCCATTCCCGATCAATTCGGCCCGGCCCGAACGGGGAGAACTTCGGGGGTTCGCGGAACCCAATGGGCTTAGCGCCCTGGCTCGACTCTGAGTAAGAGTACATGAAATCGAAAGGAAGCTCCGAATTCTCGCCGGCCCCATCCGAATTAGTCGCGTGTGCTTGCGAGGTGGTTTTGGGTCTCTTTTCCTTGAGGATTTCAGATTGTTGATGGTCCTGTGAAGATGGAGACGGGCGTTCGGAAAGGAAACGAGAGATTAAGAGGTACGGCCGCGAGCAATTCGTAGGAATTGAGCGACGCCATGCGAAGAGCTTCAGCATTTCTCAAGTGTGCCTACACTTCACAGTGGACAAATTTGTTCAATTGAGGGGTAGGATTTATTAGGAAAAAGAAAGATGCTCGTGCTTAATATTTTTCATTTACATACTTTTTAATTAAAAATAAAATGACATATTTATTTTAGTAAACAATATAAATAATTATATGATATTTCTCAATCTAGATATGTATTTTTTATTAGTAAAAAAAACGTGTTAAGACTTTAAGTTAAAGAATTTTGTTTGTAATAGTTGATTGTAGTTATTGATTAATTAATGAATTATAATTATAATAGTATTTTATAAATGAATATTTGAAAAATACCAGCAATATGTATAATTGTTTTGAAAAGTTTATTTATTTATTTATTTTTTAATTCTCTGAATTCAAAACATTGTCTTGTTGTAAACGTGGCCAGTCAACGGGTCCGGGCCCGGCCCGCCAGGTCGACAGTCCGCTTGGACGAGGCCCGGTACCGAACCGGGAAAAGGGGCGGTCCGGGACCGGTTTTGAGCTCGGACCCATCGGTTTTTCGCCGGTTCGGTCCGGTTCCGACGGTTCGCGGGTTTTTTTTTTTTTTTTTTTTTTTTTGGTAAATAAAAAATATGTTGAGATGTATTACCGATTTTGATTGATTGGCGGCGGTTCCGCCGGTATAGTGTTATTTTGTAGGACTTGAGAAATTCAATTTTACTATGTTAGTTAAACAATATCTTGATTTTCATCAACGTCATCATGCAATCCGACTCCAATACACAGTTTCGAGTAATATATCCGTTCTTTTTGTTATCGGCCTCAAGCATGTTAGTTAACGGAAGTTGTCCAAGTTATCATCGTTGGCGTACAAGATGTTGATACTATTAACCCACAATTCCATAAGGGTACATACCTTTTCACGCATCACTTGTACTGTTGGATAATGCTATCAAACTAATGTTAAATGTTGATGACTCAACTGCAACTTTATCATTACATTATTTTGCATTCCTCTGCTCGACGTTAAGTAAGAATTCAAAAGATAACTAAGTATGTATAAACGTTATATTGTTTGTGCTATAGCAGACGAAATTTAGAATTGAAAGCATAATACATAATAAAGAATATTGACGTGACATCACAATTCCCTTTTGTTGTTAATGTTTTTGAGTTAATATTTGAACTTTAGAAGATGAACTCAAAACATTAACTTCATTTAGGACAACGATATCAGGTTAATATTCTCCATTACATAGTATGCTTTCAATGCTAGATTACGCCTGCAATAACACAAACAACAGAACGCTTATACAGACTTAGTTATCTTTTGAATACGTACTCAATGTCGAGAAAAGGGATGCAAAATAATGTTATGGTAAACTTGCAGTTGAGTCATCAACATTTGACATTAGTTTTATATCATTATCCGACGGTACCAGTTATGCGTGAAAAGGTATGTACCCGTATGGGATTGTGGGATAATAGTATCAACATCTTGCACACCAAAGATGATAACTTGGACAACATCTATTAAGTAACATACTTGAAGATACTAACAAAAAGAACGGATATATTACTCCAGACTGTGTATTGGAGTCGGATTGCATGATGACGTTGATGAAACTCAAGATGTTGTTGACTTAACATATGTATTTGAGAAAGATGTTTTATAACGGAAACAATTGCCGTTAACATCGGTTACGGGGTTCTTAAATGTTAAACAATCATCCAACACTACAGGAAAGCTACAGTCTTTTTCACACACACTAGAACTATTGGACTATTTTATCAAACTAACGTGAAGTGTGGATAACTCGAATGCGAGCTTACCGGTATATTGTTTTGCAATCATTTCTTGGAAAATTCAGTAAGAATTTCGACAATGGCCAGGTTTGTGTCAAATTTATCTAATTTACCCTTCTAGCATGTGTATTAGAGGATTGAAAACATAATATATAAAGAAGACTGTGGGCTAAGGATCATTGGTGTCATTGATGTTATTGTTTTTATCTGATGTTGAACTTCTACAATCTGGTGGATCGGAAAATCAATGGCGAAGATGCCGAGAGCCGAATCGTGTCGGTGTGGTGCGCCGTGTTGGTATCCAAATTAACAAACAAACATCAAATAACACCAATGATGCCACGCCCACGGTCTTCTTTATATATTATGTTTTCAATTCTCTAATAAACTTGCTATACTATAAAGTAGAGTAATATGACACGCACTTAGTCATCCTTGGGGACGATGAACTCAATTTAAAGTGATGTGAATGCAGAACAATATACCGGTAAGCTTATATTCGGTCAACAACACTTCACTTTAATCTGATACAATAATCCAATATTTTTAGTGGTGTGTGAAAAAGACTGCAGCTTCCTTGCAGTGTTGGAAGATTGTTAAATGTTAAGAACCCCGTAAACGATGCTAACTGTGATTGTATCTGTTATAAAACATTCTTCTGGTGATGTAATTTAACTTATTTTAATTGATATTTTAACTTAAGGTGCCTACGTATTTGCTAAATTAGAAATGAAAGTCCAAGTAATTTTTTTTTTTTAATTTACTTACAGCTCAAGAAATTCTAAAAGTTGACCAAATAATGATCAAAGCAATAACATCAATTACGCCAATAACGCCATGCACATAATCTCCCTTGTAGAATAGGCGTCGCACTCTCTCATACGGCTACAATACAGCAATGGAGACTATGGGCGTGGAATAATTGGAGTAATTGATATTATTGCTTGAATTTCTGAACAATGTTTTCTAGAGAAAAATTAATTCTTGTTACGTTAGGATATTTTAAAGTTGATAAAAAAAATGGACTTGAGCTTAATTGACATTTAATAAGTATAGTATATCATATGTCAATTAAGGTGCCTACGTACTCCTTATATTGGGAATCAAAATCCACGTAGTTCTTTTAAGTTTCAATATTAGGCACTCGTTTTTTAAGGTCGTGATTCATTGTGGATTTTAGTTGTAAGAAATTCGAAAAGTTTACAAATTAGAGTTGAAAGCAATAACATCAATTAAACCGATTATGCCACGCACACATTCTCTCATTGTGGATGATGTTTCTGACTCTCTCATACGCCTACAATACAACAATATAGAGATAGTATACACAAACAAACTTCAACAAACTTCAAGTATTGAAGAATTTGTATGTCGGCATGTGTCATAGAACTCTAACTGCTATATTGTAGACGTATACGAGAGTGAGAAGCAGGATCTACAATGGGAGAATGTGGACGTGGCATAATCGATGTAATTGATGTTATTGTTTAAATTTGTGAAGGATGTTTTATAACGGAAACAATTGTCGTTGACATCTGTTACGGGGTTCTTAAATGTTCAACAATCATCCAACAATCATCCTTGCAGTGTTGGAAGATTGTTCAACGTTAAGAACCCTGTAAACGACGCCAACTACGATTGTCTCCGTTATAGAACATCCTTTTACTGATGTAATTTAACTTATTTTAATTGATATTTTAACTTAAGGATTAAGGTGCCTACGTACTAGTGGTGTGTCAAAAAGTCCAAGTACTTTTTGTTAATTTACTTACAGCTCAAGAAATTCAAAGAATTGACCAAATAATGATCAAAGCAATAACATCAATTACGCCAATGATGCCACGCACACAATCTCTGTTGTGGAACTGGTGTCGCACTCTCTAATACGTCTACAATACAGCAACGGAGATTGTGGGCGGGGCAAAATTGGAATAATTGATATTATTGCCTGAATTTCTGAACAATGTTTTCTAGAGGCAAATAATTTTTTTTTTTAAAGTTAATATACTGCAATTGTCTTCATTATAGAACATCCTTCTATTGATGTAATTTAACTTATTTTAACATTTTAACTTGTAAAAAAGTCCAATTACTTTTTCTTTTAATTTACTTACAGCTCAAAAAATTCTAAAAATTGACCAAATAATGATCAAAGCAATAACATCAATTAAGCCAATAATGCCACGACCAGTCTCCCTTGTAGAACCTGCGTCGCACTCTCTCATACGGCTACAATACAACAATGGAGACTGTGGCCGTGGCATAATTGGAATAATTGATATTATTGCCTCAATTTCTGAACAATGTTTTCTACAAGAAAACTAATTCTTGTTACGTTTAGATATTTTAAAGTTGATTAAAAAAAAAAAATTGGACTTGAGCTTAATTGACATTTATTAAGTTAAAATATCATATAATTGAACTTTTTTTTTGTTTTGAAAAAAAAATGATATTTTAACTTATAAATGTCAATTAAGTTGCCTACGTATCCCTTATATTAGGAATCAAAGTCCACGTAGTTCTTTCGATTTACTTACCTGTACATGAGTGGTTGTCTCTAATAGTCATACTCGTCATCTCCTGTTCCGGTTCCACCACTCGTCGTACTCGTAAAATCGGATGCGTCATCGTCGTCGTCTGCTTCTTCATCTACGTAAATAACCGTTTGCATCCATCGTTCGGCCTTTTTCCAATCCATCAACAGAATTTGTGCTTGTAGATTTTCGAGCGTCAGCCTCGATCGTTGTGCGTCGAGCATATAACCTCCCTCGCTGAAGGCTTGTTCGACCGCAACTGTAGATGCTGGGACGGCAAAAATCTCTTTGGCCATCAAGCAAGGAATAGGATATATGCCTTGCATTCTCGACCATCAGTCCAAGACATCGAAATTGAGTGGCGGACTTGGTTCACGAGCAATCATAAGTATCAAATTCGACGTTAGGTAGTGATCAAGCTCATAGTATCCAGTTCCCTTTGCCCTTTCAACGCCAGCATTCTTGTAGGGATTTAATGATGCCTACCACTCCTTATAGTTCGAAGTGCCTACTTGACTACCGCCGTAAGAAGAAGACCCGCTGCTGCTGCCCCCGCCGCCACGAACAAATGTGCTGGGAGGTTCACCTTGTGCGATCGCTGTTTCCCTAAACATGTCATACAACAAATTTTTTGCTTGCTCGACGAGCAGCAGTATGGTAGGTTTTTGACTGTATGTCGGGACATCAGTCCGGATTAGGAGTTCATACATATAATTATAGTACATGTTAAGCTGCTC